AGCCGTCGCCGCCGCAGTCCACGCCGTCTGCCACGCCCTCGACCAACCCGCCCACGGCAACCTCTCGCTCGCACACGTCCTCCTCCCCGCCCGCCGCGCCCCCGTCCTGGCCGGCTTCGGCTACGCCCGCGCCAACCGCCTCGCTAACCGCAACCGCCCGCTCTCCGCTCGCGATGACGTCCGCGCCCTCGCCGCCATGCTGTACGAGCTCGTGTACGGCGCCCCGTGGCGCCCGCCGCGCCGTGCCCTGCCCGTCCGCCCGGATGTCCCACCCGCCGTCGCACGCCTGCTCGAGGCCGTCTTGCTCGTCCCGATGCACGACGTGCCGGACCTCACCGTCTTTCGGTACGACCTCGCCGCCGCCAGGGGGCTCGTGCCGCACTGCTCCGCCGCCTTGAAGCCGCTAGAGACCGACCGCAGGAAGGAGACCTTGCTCGGCGCCGACTTGGACTCGGTCCGCGGGCTCGAGCCGCACGCGCGCCCGGACGTGCGCCAGGGGGAGCGCGTGCTACCTGTCGCGCCTGCGGACGCCAGGACGCATGCGCCCCACCCGCAGGAGCCGCTGCCGGAGCTCGGCGATGCCGAGTTGCAACAGGTTGTCATGCGCCTCGCACACGCAGATCCGGAGCCGTTCCGCCAGGAGGACGTCGACCTTGTTCTTGCGGCGTGCGCCGCCTCGCCAGAGATGCCCGAGCGCCTCTTCAAGATGCTGTTTGCCCTCAAGATATCCAAGAATCCCATCGTCGCGTTCAAGGCCGCCATGCTCATTCATCAGCTGGTTGCCGAGGGGCCGGCACACCTCACCGCGGTCGCCATCACGAAGGACGGCTTTCTGAGCTGGGCAGAGTCAGAGTGGACGAGGGAGCGCATCCCGAGTAAGCCGGGCAAACCGCATCTGCTGGCCTACTGTTTTGCGGCAGGGGAGATTTCCTGGTATGTCGCCATCGTGAGGAAGCGCATCTTCTTGCATGCCAACTTTGCGCAGGCGCTATCCACCCGGTGGATTCCCAGGCTGGACAGCGTCGCCGCGTTTTCCGGCAAGAGGCGAGAGGCCGTGAGAGCGACGCTGGAAATTGTCGAAAAGTGCAACGGCTTGCTGCGAAAGTGCGTCACTGCAAAGGATCCAAGCGCAAGTCTCAAGCAAAGCGCAGTTCCACTGCTGGTAATGGAGATTTCTAAAGCATATCTCACGATATGTTACGTATACGCCACCGCAGATGAACGAGATAAGGCAGAGTTGAACGCGGAAATGGCCATTGCACATCGCTCCACCAAGACTGCTTTAGAATCCGTACATTCGAATGAGGCGCTTCTTGCCATGTGCCCCCCGTCTGCTTTGCTGGATCTAGGTGATGAACCGGCCACAAATCTTAGCGTGCAAGAAATCGTGTCTGCCATGAGAAAGAAAAAGAAGAAGAAGAAAAAGCAGAAGAAGAAGAAGAAGAAGGTTCCTAGTGTAGAGGAAGACTCCTTGACAGAAGTGCATGCCGGTGAAGCCACTCCCGACTTGGGAGAAGACGACGAAGTCGCGAATGGGCGGAGGTCGTCAAACGAAGAGGAACGTCAGGAAGATATCCCCATCGTCGACGGAATTGCGGAAAAACAGAAGAAATCGAAGAAGGCGAAGAAGAGAAAAGAAGCAAAGCAGAATGGAAAGACGGTCACCGAAATACGACTAGCTTCTCCTGCAACCGAAATCGTTTCCGATGCAAGAACATCTGAACGATTGCCACCGTATTCAGAAAGTCGACCTGCCGTTCCTGTTCACGGTATGGCGAAACTATCACTAAGCGTGCGGAAGGGCGTCGCCAAATCTTTTCACAGCGCTGACATGCAACCAGTCGCAGGGCCTGCCATTCCTGTCCGTTCTACGCTTCCTGCAAGCAGGGTTCGCTCTAGCTCCGCAGGCGATGTCCCTCAGGGAGGCGAACGGCGGATGTCTAGACACCATCACCCGGAGAACGGTGATGTGCTCACAGACTCAGACTCCGAATCTCCAGTAAGGCAACGCCCGCCTACTGGGAAATCTCGCTTGAGAGAGACGGGCCGTCATCGTCGTGTCACGAATACTGGAAGCGACCCAGAACTCAGTAGAAGCCCCAGGCGGTCGATTTCCAGACCTAAGAACAGGCGTGGAAGACGCCCATCTGTGGATTCCGAGTCAGAGAGTGAAACGAGCTCCAGCAATAACGACGATTCCACTGAAGAAGAGGAAGAAGAAGCAAGAAAAATCCTTCCAAAGAAATCGAAAGGGAAAGAAACTCGTCCTCGGAAATCAACGCACAAGAAGCCTACTGATGAGAAGCATATTCCGTTTGACAAGGAGCCACCGAAACGAAAGAAGACGGCAAAGGCAAAGGAAAGTGCCTCACAGAAGGTTGACAGTGATCACATCGGCGGAAGCAAAGAAGCTTTGGCCGCAGCAGCCAGTGGCAAGAAGACACCAAGCATAAATCCCAGGTTTGAAGTGGCCCCATACGAAGTAACTTTTGGAAAGTAAGTCGGGTCTGGTGGATTTGGGATTGTGTTCAAAGCCAAGTTTCGAGGTGAAACGGTGGCGGTTAAGAAGATTCATGCACATGCTTTATCCAATGCCTCTTCCATCGCAGAATTTCAATCAGAGGTCGCAGTTTTGTGTACTTTACAACATCCTAACATTTTAAGATTTGTGGGTGCCTGCACGATGCCACCAAATCTCATGATTATCACAGAGTTTATGTCTCGGGGAACATTGTTCGACGTCCTCCATCAATCGCAGATGCGAGTCCCCTGGTCTATGCGGAAGAAGTTTGCCATGGACACTTGCAGGGGAATGCGGTATCTGCATGATAGCAAATTGCTGCACCGAGACCTCAAGTCATCCAACCTCATGCTGGATAAGGACTTTAATTGCAAAGTGGGTGATTTCGGTCTCACACGTCTCTCTCGTGGTGCGGCAGCTGCGCAAATGACAGGGCAATGCGGAACGTTTCAGTACATGGCAGTGGAGGTCCTAACAAGCAAACCGTATTCTGAAAAGGCAGATGTGTTCTCCTTTGGTATCTTACTGTGGGAAATGGTGGCTCGAAAGCTGCCGTATTTTGGGATGCAACCGATGCAGGTAGGTATGGCTGTTGTCCAACAGGGCATGAGGCCTCCAATACCACCCAAGTGCCCCGCGCCGCTGGTCAAGCTGATGAAAGCGTGTTGGGACAGTGACCCGAATGTAAGACCATCGTTTGCGCAACTCGTACAAGCCCTGGAAGCAATGCCGGAATAAGACGTAGCACAATTTTCCAGTCAGGCAATATGGGTGCGCGGAGAGCATTAGAAGATTGACTCGCTCTCCACGTGCCTGATAACAATGGAGCCCATCACAAGTTTTTTGGTAACATCCTATGTAAAAAAAAAAAAAGATTCCCTTTGGGAGGCCCAAGTACAAAGCTCTGGATTATGAGAGCAGTACTATACACACTAGAGTCTTAGGCGTGAACTACTTTCGACCCATTAGGATTCTTTCTGCAATCTTCTGGGACCTCTCTTTCTCCTTACCCAGGGCTTTCTTATCTACAATAGTTTGAAACTTCTTCTTGCGGCCTTGAAGTTTTGCCTTGGGTTCATTGGTAACCTTTTGATCAAAACGCCCCGCAGAAGCGGTAGAGCGCTGGGCAATGGCGAGGGAATCCTTGAGGCCCTTCTTGGGTAAAAACTTCTTGCCACTCGGCCCCGCCTTCCCCACATCAAGTGCGTGCACTGGGTTTATTTGTGCCCGTCGGCCCTTCGCGGCGCGCCCGAGATTGGAATTGTGCTTTTTGGTATTCTCCTTGATCCGTTGCTTCTTCTCCTTTCTCTTCTGCGCAAACGGGTCATAGTCCTCCCCCATGCTCTCCTTGTGCGGCAAAATAACGTCTCTATCCAGCGCGTTTTTACTCCCCTTCCCGTAGCGCGGGACATACTCCCCCGTGGCGTCATCGAGCACGAGTCTGTCGCGGTGCCTCTTCTGGATGCCCTTCTCCTTAGCAAACTTTTCCCATTTCGTCAGGGCGCGCTCCTTCGGAATAGGCTTGGCGCGGGGGAGATGGAACGCGCCGTTGGGGAGCGAGACTAGCTTGGCCTCGTCGCTCTCAAGCACGGGGAGAGAGAATATGGCGTGCACCAAGGGCTCAACGCCTTGCGTCGCCACTTCGACTGGAGTGCCTTCGATACCAACGCGCTTGTCGAAAGCAGCGAGGTTTCCGAGGTCGACTTCGTAGCCGGGTGGGATCTGAAAGGTGGTCATGGTGCGAGAGTAGAAAAGTGAGGGAAGCTGGCCCCAACGATAGCGGGTGATCTGCCTTGAAGTTTACGCTGGGGGGAAGGGGAAATGGGGCGATTTACGCCGCCGCCATCAGAACGTGCGTCCAGCAAGGTAGAGATTAATGCCTGGTGGGGGCAAAATTCGTTGCCTGCCAGAAAGTCCCGTTTTTTAACCTCGCTGTGCCCTTCAGCTCTCCTACTGGATTGTCACCGTCTCCAATCCACCATAACTCAAAACACCCAGAGCTCCAGACTTCCTGCGTTGTCTACTTTCATCATAAACCGTCTCCGACAGAAAGACCTCCCTTTGCGCACTTACGTCGTGCGGAAACTCGCCTCCCCTTCGTCGAACCTTTCCGCCTAGCTCAAGATGAGGATTCAGTACAAAGGGGGCGTGTGGAAGAACTCGGAAGATGAGATTCTCAAGGCCGCCGTTATGAAGTACGGCAAGAACCAGTGGGCGCGCATCGCCTCGCTGCTCGTGCGCAAATCCGCCAAGCAATGCAAAGCCCGCTGGTTCGAGTGGCTGGACCCTGCCATCAAGAAGACCCAGTGGACACGCGAAGAGGAAGAAAAGCTCCTCCACCTCGCCAAAATCTTCCCCACCTCTTGGCGTACCATTGCCCCCATGATCGGCCGAACCGCGGCCCAGTGCCTCGAGCACTATGAGAAGCTCCTCGACCAGGCGCAGCGCGGGCCCGATGAGGCGGGGCCTTCCTCCGCCGCGGTGGTTACGGCGCAGGGGAGAGTCGGCGACGCCGACGTGCCCGCAGAGTCCAAGCCCGCAAGGCCGGATCCTGTTGACATGGACGAGGATGAGCTGGAGATGCTCAGCGAGGCCCGCGCGAGACTCGCGAATACAAAGGGGAAGAAGGCCAAGAGGAAAGCCAGGGAGAAGCAACTAGAAGCTGCCAAGCGGTTGGCTCAACTACAGAAGAGACGCGAACTCAAAGCAGCGGGAATCGACCTCAAGCCTCGCCGGAAGAATCGCAAGGTCACAGACTACGCCACAGAAATCCCGTTTGAACGCGCGCCTGTGCCGGGGTTTTACGATATAACAGCTGAAGACGAGAGAGTGGCAAAAGAGAGCGACAGTAAGAATCAGATTGGAAAATTGTTACAGAAATACAAGGGAAAAGGCGAAGAGGAGAGGGAAGAGGAACTCAGGAAGAAAGATTCTGAGAAAAGAAAACGATTAGAAGCCACAAACCTGCCTGCAGCCCTCGGCTTAAACAAGAAGAACTACGCACCACCAACTCCTGCTCTGAAAAAGGCTCGTCTCTCGCTCCCGGCACCACAAGTCTCTGACTTTGATCTGGAAAATATTGCCAAGCAGGGCGCTTCAGCTCTACGAGAAAACGGAAATGCGTCGGGTGCAGAAAGCGCGACTATGTCACAAACTCAAGAAGGAGAGTACGGAAGAGGCTCTGCATTAGATGATCCCGCACAAACTGCCGCGGAGCCATGGGCCGCTATTCGTCGACGTCATCTTCAAACAATTGTTAACTTGAAGTCAGCTCAAACTCCGCTGCGAGGAGGCAAGAATAATCCGTTGCCACAACTTGGACTTCAGAGTGGCGTTACACCAATGAGAAGTACTCTGCCAACTCCCAATCCGCTTGCCACTCCCCTATCAACTACTCATGACTCATACTCCTCAAGCAAAGGAGCTCAACTAGCCCAGGCGAAGAGAGAGAAGTTGAAAAGCTTGAAAGCAACAGTACGGAAAGGTATCAGCGGATTGCCGCAACCAGAAAATGAGTATGAGATCGAAATCGATGAGTCTGCACTGGATGAAAGCACAGAGAAACCGAACGACGGGACTGATATTGCTGAAGACGCCGAGGAGGTGCAACTGAGAAAGAAATCGAGATACGAGAAAGAAATCGAGGAGCAAAAAAGAAATCTGCTGTCTTCTGCTGCTAGAAGGAAGCTCCCCATTCCATGCCTAGAGAGAAACGGGGACAAAGAAACAAATGCAGGACTATATCTTGTGCAACGGGACGCTTCTGCCCACGAGATACTGCGAAAATATAACAACTCGACGCAAGATACATCTACAACGCTTAAGTGTCTTCGGACTCTCAAGACAGCGGATCCTCTACATGATCAGCACCTAAAGAGTGCCCGAGCTCTTATCAAGGAGCAAATGAAGAAAGACGAGAAGGCTGGTTTGCAAATGGAGGCGTTGATCTACAGTGAACTTCGAGCCAGGCAAATTTCATCGGTGAAACGGACACCGACATGGACGTAAGAGTCGCCTACATGAGGCTTTGCAATGCAGCTCTGCTGCGCGCGTGCTTGATTGTGAAGATTACAATGAACTTTATGACGTTAATAGATCTAGAAGGGGCGCAATAAACAACTGATAACTAACAGCTTGATCAGTGCCATCCCATCGTAACACGCGTACCACCGCCTACCAGGCCGAGAAAGGGCAACAACCCGAAAAGCGATGGCAAGGAAAGTAGGTGTCATTGAGCGTCCGTACTAGAAAGATCAAGCCAATGCCCTAGCTTTAGCTTCTTCGTCTGCAAATACTTGACATTCTCCGGGTTTGGCGAGATATGCACCGGTCTCCGGTCGACAATCTTGAGGCCATATCCCCCTAGTCCCGAGTACTTGGCCGGGTTATTAGTCATGAGGATAATCTGCGACACGTTCAAGTCGGATAAAATTTGGGCTCCAATGCCATATTCCCTACTATCGACCGGAAGGCCAAGCTCCTCGTTGGCCTGCACGGTGTCCCTCCCCCTATCCTGCAGGGCATACGCGCGCATCTTATGTGCGAGTCCGATGCCGCGGCCCTCCTGTCCGCGCAGGTAGACGAGGATGCCGCGGCCCTCCTTCGCGATCTCCTCGAGCGCAAAATCTAACTGCGGCCCGCAGTCGCATCTCAGCGAGCCAAAGACATCGCCCGTACAGCACTCGGAGTGGACGCGCACCAGAACCGGGCCATCGAACTTGGGGTTCTCCGGGTCGTCCCCCCCGCCCACGACCAGGGCGACGTGTTCGACGCCGTCCAGCACGCTCCGGTACGCGAAGGCGTCGAAGGTGCCGTAGCGTGTCGGGAGGCGGGCCGGGACCTCGCCCACGCGCACGACGAGCTTCTCCTGCATGGAGCGGTACTTGACCAGGTCTGCAATGGAGGTGAGGACCAGGCCGTGCTCCTTCGCGAAGACCTTGAGCTCCGGGAGGCGGGCCATGGAGCCAATGGGGTCGTCGTTCACTATCTCGCTCAATACGCCGACCGGGGTGCAGCCGGCAAGGCGGGCGACGTCGACGCTCGCCTCTGTGTGCCCCGCGCGCTTGAGAACGCCGCCCTCCCGATACCGCAGCGGGAAGATATGGCCCGGGCGATTAAAGTCGTCCGGCTGGACGTTTGGATCTGCTAATGCCTGCAGGGTCCTCGCCCTATCCGCGGCAGAGATGCCAGTACTGGTGCCCTCCTTCAAGTCGCACGTAATCGTAAAGGCGGTATTCTTGGGATCTGTATTATTCGGGACCATCTGGGTAAGCTGCAGGCGGTCCAAATCGTGCCCCTCCATGGCGCAGCAGATGACGCCGGAGGTGTGTTTGACCATGAAAGCGATGGCCTCGGGGGTGGCCTTGTCCGCGGCGAGGATCAAGTCGCCCTCGTTCTCGCGGTGCTCGTCGTCTACGACGACGATGAAGCGGCCGGCGGCGACGTCGCGCCACGCGTCACGCCCAGACTGCTCG